AGAGTGTGAACAGGGGAGGGCAGAGAAAGAGGGAGAGTGAGAATCCCAAGCAGGCCCCACACTGTCAGCATGGAGCTCGATGCAGGGCTTGAACTAAAAACTGTGAGATCGTGACCTGAGCCAAAACCAAGAGTAGAATGCTTAACCTACTGAACCACCCAGGCACCTATATTATGTTATATTATATTATATTATATTATATTATATTATATTATATTATATTATATTATATTTTTGGATCTAGATTTTTTTAACAAGTAGACCAAAACACAGACAGGATCCTAGGATTTGTTTGTTTGTTTGTTTCTTTTTCTTTCTTTCTTATTTTTCTTCTTTTCTTCTTTTGTGGACAAAGTGACAAGATGGAGAAATTTATCCTGAAAGAAAGAATAGGCAGCAGAACTTACAGCCAGGGATTTAATCAATACAGATATAAGTAAGATGTCTGAACTAGAATTTAAAACCATGATTACAAGCATACTAGCTGGGCTTGAAAAAAAAAAGCATAGAAGACACTAGAAAATCCCTTTCTGCAGAGAGAAAATAATCAAAATCTAGTCATGCTGAAACTAAATATGCTGTAACTGAGATGCAATCTCCAATGGATGCCATGATGGAGAGGATGGATGAAGCTGAGTAATGAATCAGTGATATAGAGGATAAAATTATGGAAAATAATGAAGCTGAAAAGAATGGGAAACAAGGCAAAAGACCCACAAGACATAGAGAAAACCCAGTGACTTATTAAAGAATAACAATTATATCATAGGAGTCCCAGAAGATGAAGAGACACAAAAAGGGGAAGAAGGTGTATGTGAGAAAATTATAGCTGAAAATATTCCTAATCTGGGGAAGACACAGACATCAAAATCCAAGAAGCACAGCTAACTCCCACTAAATTTAACAAAAGCTGCTGATTATTAAGGCATATCATAGTCAACTTCACAAATAACAGAGAAGGAAATAATCATGAAAACAAGGGGGGAGAAACTTTACCTACAAGGGAAGACAGATCAGGTTCACAGCAGATCTGTCCACAGAAATTTAGGAGGCCAGAAAGAGTGGCAGGATATATTCAACATACTGGATGGGAAAAACATGTGGCCAAGAATTCTTTATCTAGTGGGGCTGTCATTCAGAACAGAAGGAGAGCTAAAGAGTTTCCCAGACAAACAAAACTAAAGGGGTTCCTGATCACTAATACAGCCCTGCAAGAAATTTTAAGTGGGACTCTTTCAGTGGAGAAAAAACAAAAGACCAAAAGAAACAGTGACTAGAAAGGACCATAGAACATCACCAGAAACACCAATTCTACAGACAACACAAATGTTCATATTTTTCAATAATCACTCTGAACGTAAATGGACTAAATGTTCCAATCAAAAGATATCAGAATGGATAAAAAAAAATGGATAAGGTATCAGAATGGATAAAAAAAAAAAACAAGATCCATTTGTATGCTATCTACAAGAGAATCATTTTAGACCTAAAGACACCTGCAGATGGAAAGTGAGGGGATGAAAAACCATCTATCATGCTAATGGACGTAAAAGGAAAGCTGGAGTAGCCATATTTATAGCAGATAAATTAGATTTTAAAACAAAGACTGTATCAAGAGATAAAGAAGATTATATCATAATTAAGGAGTCTACATTCAAGATTTAACAATTATAAATATTTATGCCTTAACTCAAAACACTCAAATACATAAATCATTAATGGCAAACACAAAGAAACTCATTGACAATAATACAATAATGGTAGTGAACGTTAACATCCAAGTTACAGCAATGGACAGATCATCTAAGAAGAAAATCACCAAGGAAACAATGGCTTTGGATGACACACTGGACCAGATGGACTTAACAAATATATTCAGAACATTTCATCCTAAAACAGCAGGATACACATTCTTCTTAAGTGCAAATGGAACATTCTCCAGAATAGATCATTTACTGGATCACAAATCAACTCTAAACAAGTACAAAAAGATCAAGATCATCCATGCATATTTTCAGGTCACAACACCATGAAACTTGAAAGCAACCACAAGAAAAATTTTGGAAAGCCCTCAAACACATGGAGGTTAAGGAACATCTTACTAAAGAATGAATGGGTTAACCATAACATTAAGGAAGAAATAAATACATGGAAGCACATGAAAATGAAAACACAACAGTCCAAATCCTTTGGGATACAGCAAAGACAGTCCTAAGAGGAAAGTATATTGCAATTCAGGCCTATCTCAAGAAGCAAGAAAAGTCCTAAATATACAACCTAACCTTACACATAAAGGAGCTAGAAAAAGAAACCCAAATAAAGCCTAAAGTCAGCAGAAGAAGGGAAATAATGAAGATTAGAGCAGAAATAAATGGTATACAAACAGACAAACAAATCAATGAAACTAAGAGCTGGTTCTTTGAAAGAATAGATAAAAGTAATAAACTCCTAACCAGACATATAAAAGAGAAAAGCAGAAGGACCCACATACATAAAACAATGAATGAAAGGACAGATCACAACCCACACCATAGAAATACAAACAATTATAAGAGAATACTATGAAACATTATATACTAAAAAATTGGGCAATCTGGAAGAATTGCACAAATTCCCAGACACTCACAAACTACCAAAACTGAAGAAACAGGAAGGAATAGGAGGAAACAGAAAATTTGAACAGACCCATAAACAGTAAAGGAATTAAATCAGTAATCAAAAATCTCCCAACAAACAAAAATCCTGGGCTAGATGGCTTCCCAGAAGCATTCTACCAGACATTTAAAGAAGAGTTAGTACCTATGATTCTCAAACTGTTCCAAAAGAAAGGAATGGAAGCAAAACTTCCAAACTCATTCTATGAAGCCAGCATTACCTTGATTCCAAAACCAGACAAAGATGCCACTAAAGTGGAGAGTTGCAGGCTAATATCCCTAATGAACATGGATGTAAAATTCTCACAAAATACCAGCCAATCAATTTCAACAGTACCTTAAAAGAATTATCCACCACGGCCAAGTGGGCTACAGGACTGCTTCAATATTTGTTTACCAATCATGATACACCACATTAATAAAAGAAAGGATAAGAACCCTATGGTCCTGACAATAGATACGGAAAAAGCATTTGACGAAATACAGCATCCATTCTTGATAAAAACCCTCAAGAAAGTATGGATAGATGGAACATACCTCAACATCATAAAGGCCATATATGAAAGATCCACATCTAATATAATCTTCAATGGGGAAAAACTGACAGTCTTTCCCCCTATACTCAGGAATGAGACAAAGATATCCACTTTCACCGTTACTATTAGCCTCAGTAATGAGAAAACAAAAAGAAATAAAGGGCATCCAAATTAGCAGGGAATAAGTAAAACTTTCACTATTTGCAGGCAACATGTACTCTACATGGAAAACCTCCTGAAAGACTCCATCAAAAAATTTTTAGTACTAATACACGGATTCATAAAAATTGGAGGATATAAAATACATGTACAGAAATACATTTATGTATACCAATAATGAAGCAACAGAAAGAGAAATCAAGGTATTGATCCCATTTACAATTGCACCCCAAACCTTAAGATACCTAGGAAAAACCTAACCAAAGAGGTAAAAGATCTCTACCCTGACAACTAGGACTTCTGCTTAATTCCTGCTGGTGCTCTGTGGGGATAGTGAGTGTTCAGTGGGTTGCCTGGTGTCCCTGGGCCACCTTCGGTTGGAGACAGGGCGTCAGTGGCCATTTCTTTGAGATCTCCTTATGCCACTGTTAAAGGGCAAGGAGACCAAGGGCTTTGCTACTGCTGCTGCCACGAACAGTTTGGGTTGTTTCCTGATGACTCAGTTGTAAAGTGAGGGTTGAATCTCCTCACGCAGTCTCTTTGGAGAGAGCAGGACAAGAACTCTCTTTCTCCGTTCTTGTCCTTTGGCCAGAGAGAGCAGGATTTTATTGTTGTTGTTGCTTTGTATATGCGCATTGGTGGCTCTAGGTTCCAGATCTCCCTGGCACCAAGTCCTGGACATATGAGGAATTAACACACACACACACACACACACACACACACACACGGAATTCATCACATGTCATTCCTCAAGTTCCAGTTAGTCCACTTTCATTTTGCCAGTCTTCAGAGTATTTTTATTGCTGTCTGCATAATTTCTGGGGTGTTTTGTTGCATTAGAGGGGAGACACAGGGAACAGTAGTAAGTTTATACCATCTTGTTAAGGTTCTGGTGTCTCTAACATTGCTTTTGAGGCGAGGCTTTGCTGACCACCTCACTCTGCCACTGTGGAAGTCCCATACCCGAATTAGTTTAACTGTAAATTTTCTGACAAGAGTCTCATTTATTCCATATTTGTATCCTCCTCTTAAGGATCCTAACACAGTCCCAATTCCCATCAACTATTCCCATGAATTTTAATTGTTATTTATACATCTGTGTTTTAAATGGGTAAATATACTAATTATATTACACAATTATACATTTCTGGGATGCTTTTTCCTGTATCCTTGGTCTGTTCTCACCTTTGTTCTTGCTGATATTATTATTCAATAGTTCCTTTAAGTGAGGTTGTATGAGAGTAAGTTCTCTTAATTATTTTACATTTACTATGACTTTTTCAGCCCTTACTTTTGAAAGAGAATATACATAGGTATAAAGTTTTTAGATTGATACACAAATCCCCTTATCACCTTGATATTAGGGCATGGTTACCTGAAGACACTATAAGTTTTGAGTCTGTCGGCAAAGTACATTCCTATGGATAAGATTTTGTGTTCTCATGTCAGGGTCAATCATTCAAATGTGGACCCTTATGTGTATTGGGTAAGTTACTAATCTTCTGTTTACATACGGATAAAATAGGGATCATAATAAGTGAGAGTTACAGAGGGCTTATATAAGTCCTCCATGATGTCAAGTGCTTTGCCTCAACTACCCTTTTTTATTCCTCATGTAGTCACTATTGGTTTTTTTTTTTGTCTTTTACAGATGATGGAGCTAATATCCAGAGTAAACTTGAGGACAGTGGCATCATGACTCATCTGCATATGAGTTGACCCTCAAATCTGAGCTTGTAGCGCAATATTACATTCCATGTAGGGTCATTTTGATACTTAAATAAGATAATCATCTAGAGTGCTAACTGTCATATCTGACTTATCCTTGTGTTCGGTACATTTTATCCCTTATTATTTCTTTCCTCCCCTTCTGCTGGCCACATCTGTAGGTCCACATCCCTCTAGAGAATCCTCCCATTTCCCCTTGGCTGTCATGGGAATGCTCATGTGTTGGCTGAGGTGATGGCTCAGATACTTCTCAACTCCTCATTCCTCAGGGTTCCAACAGTGGTGCTGGCTTCCATGTAGAGCCTGGAGAAAACTCCACTTCTTCCTCCCATATCTACTCTCTGTGTCATGCAATGGAATCATCTGCATTTATGTCCAGAGCATCATAAAACCTCTCTTCAGTAACACCATAAGCTTCTCCATAGGTTCTCAGATCAGTATGTGGGACCAGGTTTTGGACAGATGCCAGTCTGCTGTCCTCCACATATCCTTTCCTTCTCTTTTGCCTCTATCTCTCCCCACCACCACCAGCAAATTTCCCTTGTCTTCCCATCCCACTGTACCACTGCCAGCCACTCATCTTCTCCATTTTAGCTTTATTGAATTCAATTTAGTTTCCTGCTCTAGGATAGTGAGAGCCACAGGGAAGAGCTTCAACAGTTCAAGATAAAAGAGAACAAGGTGCTTGAGACCTGAATCAGAGATAAGTCCTAAAAGAGGATAGGAAGGCTAAGGCAAGATGTGCCACCAACATCAGAGCAGAGGGCTCTGTGAGGCCAGTGCCAGAGGAGGGCTAGATTCTTCTAGCTTGAGACAGAGACAGATCTGCTGAGGTGGGAGCCTAGTGTTATGTAGAGAAAAAAAGAAAAGATCCCTCAGGTGCCTTTCAAGGGTGCTAAGGAAGAGGAGGCCCTATAGCAGCATATCTTGGGCTAGTCTCATTCACTGTGGAATGACAGGCATGAGACGCCTGTCATGAGACAATATGACCCTTGCTGTTTAGTGTTGGAACCTGGCATTCGTTGACTACCGCTGATGCCGAGCATCAGGGAACAGCAGCACCAGGGCACTGGGAAAATTGGCTATAGACAGAACTCTTGGTCCTTCCCCCAGCAGTGATCAAATAGATACACAACAAGCTGGCCCTCAGCTCAGGGCATCAAGATGTAATGGACCATTCAGAGGACATGACAAATTCCACATGGCTTACCTGTAAGGGGACTGTCTAGCACAACTTGAGAGACCCTGGGCTCCTGGAGGAGGCAAGGTCTGGCTGAGAAAGGGGTCCCCACTGCTCCCTCCTCTGAATGGTCTCCTGAAAAAACACAACTTCTGCAAGTGAGACCCTCTCCCAGTAGCCTTAGGTTTATTATTATCTGAGATACTGCATTTTGTGTTGTGTTCTATTTTGTTTGTGGTGGCCACGAGAGGCAGGGCCTGGATCTTTCCTGAAGGATGTGGATATCATTTGTATTCCACATCTTGTAAATCAAGGTGTCCACAGACAAGTGACTGGATGTGGAAATGTGGACAGGAGCCAAGGCAGAAGAGGGAAGCTGGGGAACAGTGGTTATTTCCCTGTTAAGTCAGTGGAGTTAAAAGACACCCATTCTCTTATACTGCAGCTTTTAAAAGTCTTCTTTTTCCCCCTTCCCCCGTGCATTTATCCAATGTTAACAATATTCTTATATGAATGTATACACATAAATGGCACACAGAAAAAGTTGGTCACCATTTGTTTTACAAAAGTGGGGTTATAATATATGCATTCTCTGCCTCTTCTGAACACATCTGAGAGATCTGCATGAATCAGTTAATAGAGATCTAGCACATTCCTTTTAAGACCCTAATCCTGGGGCACCTGGGTCGCTCAGTCCCTTAAACTTCCGAATTCCTCTCAGGTCATGATCTCATGGTTTATGGGTTCAAGCTCCGCATCTGGCTCTGTGCTGACAGCTGGAGCCTGGAGCCTGCTTTGGATTCTGCATCTCCTTCTTTTTCTGCCCTTTCCCTGCTCATGATCTCTCTCTCTCTCTCGCTCTCGCTCTCAAAAATAAATAAGCTTCAAAAAATTTTTAAGACCTAATTCAGAGAGTCATCTTAACCCTAAAGTACCAACCTAAACCCTAATTCTAAAATCTTAACGTTAGGGTGATCACCAGAACCCCAATTCCCCAAGCCCTAATCCTACAAACCCTAAGAGTGACTCTGAGATTCTCATCCCTGATGCAGATAAACTGCAATGTACCTCCTCATTATTGAAGAGCACAGGAAATTTTTTGCTTGATAACATCTTTGAATGTGATCTTTACTTAGTGATTATTTCCTCAGAATAGATACCCAGGAATGAGATTCTAGTGCCTAAGGTAGATGTATTCTAATGTTATGGGACATTGCCAAATTGTTTTCCAAAACGGACTGAAAGATGTTTCCTCCTATGACGTGTGAGAGGACCCATCTTCTTCCCCATCACCAACCAGATACAGGATTTATCACCTGGAACTTCTCTCCATTTGAAGTAGCCATTGACCAGGGGAGGTGGGTGGGAGAACAGGTCACCGCCTCATTCATTTCTAAACCTAAAAGTGTTCACGGGCCCCCAGGAACTCCTCTTGAGGTCCGTATCCGCAGAGAAGGAGACTCCAAAACCATGCTAAAGTTCTCAGAGGATCCCTGTGTGCTGCCCTCCTGTAAATGAATGAGGCTCTAGAAGAACGTCAGACAAGAAGAGGCTGTGGGCTCATCACAGAATAAGGGAGAGGGATGGTTTCCTGGTGCCACTCAGACCAGGGCGCTCACCCTTAGCGCTCACTGACATGCACCCCATTATCTCCGATGTCCGACCTCTGGCGTCCCTAAATGAGCCGGACCTGATCAGGTCAGGGGGCGCTGCGGATAGCGGCTGCTTCTCTGAGTGAGCTTTCCTGAACCTTAAACATGGGGGCATATCTGTTTCATTATCGGTAGAAACCCAACACTGGAGAATCTGGCAAATTAAGAACCGGAGCCAGAACCGGCAGAGGCAAAGGGAGGAAGGAAGGGGACTCAGAGAAGGCAAAAGGGGGACACAGGAGAGAGGAAAGAGAGACGCAGAAGGAAGCAAGGGAGCTGGCTAGGCGCCCCTCTCCCGGGCCTGGAAGGGAGCGGAAGGTTGGGGGGTGGGGCCACGTCTTCGTGCGTCCCCAGCCTCACCAGGGAGCAAGCTGGCTGCCAGGCGGAAGGAGTCTCTGGGCAGGACGCAGAGAGGGACCAATCAGGCGAGCGGGTTTGAGATCATTTGCATACGTCCCGGCCCCTCGGGGCACTGCCTCGGGCGCCACCTCTCTGTTAACCTGTAGTCGAGGAATTTCTGTGCTTGGGCAAAAGCTGAGTTCCCAACCTGGGGCGCCCTCCCAGAAAGACCCAAAGAGGTACCAGAGTCGTCTGAAAATAGCAACGCTCCTTCCATTAAGGCATGGAGCAGACTCGTTTATCTTACTGTTTTTTTATTTTTGAGAGAGTGACAGAGTGCCAGTAGGGGAGGGGCAGAGAAAGAGGGAGACTCAGAATCCAAAGCAGGCTTCAGGCTCTAAGCTGTCAGCACGAACTCACAAACCATGAGATCCTGACCTGAGCAGAAGTCTGATGCTTAACTGGCTGAGCCACCCACCCACCACAGAACAGACTCATTTAAAAAGTATAGTGAAAGTGGAGAAAAGTGGAGAATTTCTAGGGAAGAAAATGGTGAGAACAGGATGAAAGAACAATGGGGAGAACAGGCTAAAAGGAGGGTGGGAGCAGGAGAGGGCAGGAGAAAGAATAAAGGCGGGGCCACCTGTCTCCACTCAAGTGCACGCACGACAGGTGCCTCTTTGCGGTAATGGTGGGGACGGGTCGGTGGGTGGAGGCTTGGCGGTCTCAGTGACCAGCCTCCTTCGTTTGGAATCCTGCTGTCTAGGGAGAAGGGAAGCCAAGAACAGGGAGGGGTTGGGGTTTAGGGGAAAGATGGCCATTTAGTGCCCGCAGCATCCAGAAGGAAGCAGCACTGGGGTTTCTAGAAGGTTTGGCTCAGCTCTAAGGGCAGAAGAGAGCGTGGAAAACAGCAGTGGGAGCTCCAGCGGACCTGAGGGGGACTCCTGTCCAGCTCTGCTTGTCCAGCATGAAAACATTCAACCCTGGAGGGGGATCCTGGAGAAGAGGACTCAGATCTTCGGGAACACTCCCCCACTCTGTCCCTGGTCTTCCATTTCAGCCTTACTTTCCTCTGGAAGGCCAAATACTTCTACTGTATTGACTTTCCTGTGCTGTGGGACAGAGATTCCCTCCTGCTTTCTAGGGGGAAATTCCAAGGTGTTACTGTCTTACTCATCTTTAAACAAAGACTTTAATCAGGGGATCGTGGTTTCAGGGCAGCTTGAATTCATCTCTGATCCCCTCCACCATCTCAAGTTCAGCAGGGGTTCCCCCTGGCAAGGCAGCTGCTGACCAGCAGGCAGGGCCTGGCCAACTTGCCAAGGCCTGCAGCTCTGCTGGGTCTGGGTGGAGAGAGGAGAGCTCCCCAGGCCAAAAGGGAGCCTGGCTGACAGCAACAGGGAGACTTAGGACAGATCAGAGGCCCCTGCCTCCAGGCACCTTGAGAGGAAGAATACAGCAGTCTGCCTACTGTTCCCTGGGGGTTGGTGTGGGGAATGGGTGAGTTTCCTGTTGCCACTGGAACAAAGTGCTGCAAGCTTGGTGGCTTAAAACAACACTCATTATTCTCTCACGGTTCTGGAGGTTAGTTTTACTGGGTTAAAGTCAACGCATTGCAGGGCTGCTTCCTTCTGGAGGGTCTGAGGCAAGAATCCACTTCCTGGCGTTTCCAGCCTCTAGCAGTTGTCTGTATTCTATTTGCCTTGTGGCCCTTTTCTCCATCTCCAAATCACACCTCTCCAGTCTCTGCTTCCATCATCACACTGCCTTAATTCTGATGGATTCCTCCTGCCTCCCACTTACCAGGGCATGCAGCCTTCCCCAATAATCCAGGACAATCTCCTCATCTCCAAAATCTTTAACTTGATCACTTCTTCAAAGCCCTTTTGCAATTTAAGTTAATATATTCCCA